CTCCTCCTCCCCCCCCGCTCCTGCTCCTCCTCCTCCTCCTCCTCCTCCTCCTCCTCCTCCTCCTGGAGGAGGCGCCAAGAGAATGTGCGCGGAGCCCCGAAGGTTTGTGCTCATGCGAATCCAGCCGGATTCATGTGGGATGTGGCTTCGGGAGCGCGAGCGAAGTCCAATTTGCGTTGGAGTCCGACCGCGGGGGCGTGAGTCTGGCGGAAGTTAGACAGGATTCTGACTTCGAGACCGCGAATTTTGCGCAACTCATGTTGAACATGGCCCTGGGTACGGGAATTTCATTGTGCGTGTCCCAGGGATCCAGGGATTCTGAGAACCCAGTTGGTGATGACATATTTGTTTCCGGCTCCCCCGTCGCGGGGATCAGTAGCAGTTTACAGGAGGTAAGTTGAAAGTTGTTTTATGATATTTGATGTTGAAAATTGGAACTGGAGCAGGTTGCAGGTAACCTCAGCCCCACAGCCTGATGGCCCCATAAGGGGACAGGGGCGTATCTATGTCTATGTGTATGTATATTGGCATGTATGCATGTGTGTATGGATGCATGTATGCATATATGCATTTGTTCGTATCAGTATATGTATACGTATATGCATCTGGAAATGCGTATGTGTGTATATGTATATGCATTTGCACATGCAACATACTATGTATGTATGTAGATGTAGTTGTAGGTGTATACGTTTATGTCCGTGTATAGGTATCTATATGTGTATGTAAATATTACTTCATATAGATATATAGACATATGCATGTGCATATCACTACGTAAACACATGTGTATCAGTATTTGTATATGTATATGCATATGAGTATGTACATGAATCTGTGTATGCACATTCACGTGCACTATTTATGTGAAACTGTATATGGTTATGCACATGCACATGTTTAGGCATGACTAGTTGTACACATGCATGCGGCTGTACGTATGTGTTTGTACGTTTGTGTTTGTATGCATGTGTTTGCATGTATGTATGTATGTATGCATGCCTGCAGGTATGTATATGTGCATGCATGTATGTATGGATGTATGCATGCATGCATTTATTTATGTAGGTATGTAGGTCGATAAGCAGTTATGTACACATATGTATGTGCGCATGTATGCATTCATACATGCATGCAAGCATGTATGTATGTAATTATGTAAGTATGATGTGTGTATGCATGCATGTACGTACGTATGTACGTTCGTGCGTATACATGTATGTATGCTCGCATGTAGTCATCTAGGCACCTGGGCATGTCGACGTGCATGCATGCATATTCAGGTATGTCGGTGTGTAGGGATGTAGGCATGTAGGTAAGTAGTCATGCATGCATGTATGTACGTATGTATGTATGTGTGCGCGTATGTATGTATGTAGCTACGTATGTATGTATGTATGTGTGTATGGATGTATGTATATGTGTATGAATGTCTGTATGTATGTATGCATATATGTATGTATGTATGTATGTATGTATGTATGTATGTATGTATGCATTCATGCATGCATGCATGCATGCATGTATGTATGTATGTACGTACGTATGTATGTATGTAGTGATGCATGCATACAGGCATGTGTGTATGTACGGATGTATGTACGTATGTATGTCTGATGTATGTGTGTTTGCATGCATGCATGCATGTATGTATGTGCACATGCATATATGCATATACGTATGCATGTATGTAGGTCTGTATGCGTGTGTATGTGTATGCGTATGGGTATGTGTATGTATATGTGTATGTGCATAGGTATGTGAATGTGTGTATGTGTAGGAGTATGTGTATATGTATGCGTATGCGTATGCGTATGTGTATGTGTATGTGTGTGTATGTGTATGTGGTTGTGTATGTGTGTGTGTGTATGTGTATGGGCACATGCATAAAAGGCATAAAAGGGGAGGTCCTTGGCCCAGAGCCCCAGGCCGGTCCCTCCCTTGCTTGCACTTCGGTGCCCCTTCTTCCCGGGGACCTCAGCGGGCGACCCCCAGAGGTCCCCGAAAGCCCGAGAAAATTCCGAGACCATCCAAGACAGCCTGCGACTGGCTCTCGAGGCCCCCACGAGCGCCCCACGAGAGCTCCAAGACAGCCCCAGATGACACCGCGACAGCTCCAAGGCGCCCCAAGACGGCCCACAGCGCCCCCAAGAGGCCCTCCCAAGAGGGCCCCAATGAGCAACATCCGTGCCCTGGGCCAAACAAGGGCCAGAGACTTTTCGTATTTGGCCAGCCCCGTCCAAAGGGCTTTGCTGCGTCTCTCCCTGTCTATGTTGTATTGCTTTTCCTTCCGCTTGTACTGTGCTGCTGTACTTACTGCGTTTTCCGGACGAGTGCCCACAATGCTTTCCCCCAACCTCAGCGCCCGAACCGGTGCGGCGCCAGGGGAGCTGCCCCCTCGCCGTTTGCCATGCCGAGTGCCGACTTGTGAAACTGACCAGCCAGCGGATGAGTCAGATGCCCGCTCCTCCTTCTCCTCCTCCTCCTGGCTCCTCCTCCT